AAACAGATTTACAAAGTTGGGTGAAGATGTGGGGGTGGCAAGCTCAGGGGTGGCAGCCCTGAATGTCACTGCTATGACTAACAGCCGGGAGGGCAGACCATCTGGGAGAGGTGGTGAGGGTAGGAAGGCCTAGATAGTTGGTGGTAGTAGGGAATTCTATAATCAGAAAAACTGAGAGAATAATTTGTCGCCAGGATCGCCTCAACCAAATGGTTTGCGGTCTCCCTGGTGCCAAGGTTCGGCATGTGGTGGACCAGGTTGATAAATTACTGGGAGGGGCTGGGCATGATCCAGCTGTCTTGGTCCATGTTGGAACCAATGACAGAATACATGGAAGGTGGAGGCTCCTTAATCAATTTAAAGAACTAGGCTGCAAGTTGAAGGGAAGGACCTCCAAGGTGATATTCTCTGAAATATTACCTGTGCCATGCACAACTAAGGAAAGACAGGGGGAGATTACAGAACTAAATGCATGGCTAAAGACCTGGTGGAAGAGGGAAGGATTTGGGTTTCTAGAGCACTGGGATGCCTTTTCATTGGGGTGTAACCTATATGCTAGAGATGGTTTGCACCTAAATGGAAGGGAGTCTGCTGTGCTGGGGGAGAGGTTTATGGGGAGGCTGGAGGAGTATTTAAACTAGGATCGAAGGGGGAGGGAGAATTAGATTATAATGGGGTAGACAGATCAGACAGGGGTCAGTCCTTATTGGTGGGTGGAATGGGGAAAGATGGGGGGAGGACTATGGCAGATGCAAAGAAGGTTCCCATGTTACAAACAACCATTTGTATGAAAATAAAAAATATGCAAAATACGTGTGCACAAGGTATCAATGGATTAAAGTGTTTGTTCACCAGTGACAGAAGTCTGCCAAGCAAAATAGGTGAGAAGGAAACTTTGGTGCATGATTAGAACTATGATTTAAATGGTATTGCTGAATCTTGGCATCATTCTTTACATGACTGGGCCATTAATATTCCTGGCTATGTTCTCTTTCGGAGAGAGAGGGTAAAAAGGAAAGGTGGTGGTGTCTGTATGTGAGAGGTGATCTCAGACTGAGTGTGAAAGAGGACCTAGTTGATGGAGAGTGTGACGAGGCTGAATCATTACTGGTGGAACTGCACATGGGGGTGCGTACTACAAAGGTAATCATTGGAGTTTGTTATAGGCCTTCCAGTGTTAATGAGGAGGTGGAGACTCAGCTCCTTGTACAGATCAATAGGGCTGCAAGGGCTGGGACAGTGATAATATTGGGGGATTTTAACTACCCAGAAATTGACTGAAGTAATGGTACTGCAGGAAAAGTTAAAGGGCAATAATTTATAAACCTACTACAGAACAATTTTATGGTACAGTTCATAAAGGCCCCAACTAGGAATGATGCTCTGCTGGACCTGGTAATCTCAAACCATGCAGAGCTTATTACGAATGTCCATATAAAAAGAACATCTGGGTAGTAGTGACCATAACATGATTTAATTTATTGTTAGCTGTAAACATCAAGCACATGTGGGAAAAATAAAAACGCTCAACTTTAAGAGAGCTAATTTTCCAAGGCTGAGAGCTGCTCTCCAGGACTTAGACTGAGAGGGAATATTGGCATCAATGAACACAACACAGAAATGGGAGTTTTACAAAAAGACTGTATGTGAACACACTGCAAAATATATTCCCATGGGCAACAAGTTTAAAAGGCTAAAAATCAAACCTGTGTGTCTTACGGTCAAAGTTAAAAAAGCTATAGATAATAAGAAAAGAGCTTTTATTAAATATAAAAATGAAGGAATGCTACCATCATTTAAACATTACAAAGAATATAACAGGATATGCAAAATGGAAATAAAGGCCACAACAATTGAAAACAAACAACAGATTGCAAAAGATAGCAGGACAAACCCCCAACAACTCTTCAAATATATTAATAGTAAAAAGGTCAGGTCCGAGCATTTAGGCCCTTTACAAAATAATCTAGAGTGGGTGACTGGGGACAAAGAGAAGGCAGATTTATTAAATACCTTCTTCAGCTCTGTGTATACAAAGGAACATGGGGAAGCTCTTGTCCATAATGGGCATGGTACTGACACAGCTCCAGATAATCGACATTGGCTCACAACTGATACGTTCAAAAAATATTTAGACAGAATAAAGGTGAATAAAGCACCTGGACCGGATGGCATACACCCACAGGTCATTAAAGAATTGAGCTCTGTCATTTCAAAGCCATTGTTTCTAAGTTTTAGGGACTCTTTAATGACTGGCATAGTACCACTGGACTGGCGTAAGGCCAATGTGGTGCCTGTATTTAAAAAGAGGTCATAATCTTTACCAAGTAATTATAGACCTGTTAGTTTAACTTCTATAGTTGGGAATATACTGAAGAGTTTAATAAAAGACCACATAGATGAGTTCTTGCTGGAAAAAAACATTTTAAGCAACAGACAGCATGGATTCATGAAAGACAGAAGTTGTCAAACAAATCTGATTTCTTTTTGAGTAGGTGGGCGAAACCTTGGACAGAGGGGTGGCTGTGGACGTGGTTTAGTTGGATTTTGCAAAAGCGTTTGACACAGTTCCCCACATACGGCTAATGTGTAAGGTAAAGTCTACAGGATTGGAAAAATCTGTATGTAAATGGTTGAAAACTGGCTAAAAGATCGTATTCAGAGAGTAATGGTTAATGATTCATACTCTGAATGGTCTGGGGTTGTCAGTGGTGTACCCCAAGGTTCAGTGTTTAGACCTTTGCTTTTTAATATATTTATCAACAATATAGGGTCTGAGATTAAAAATACCATTTCAGTCTTTGCAGATCAAACTAAGCTTTACAGTGGAATTAGGTCCTTACAGGATGTCTTCAACTTACAAGCCGACCTCAATGCACTGTTTAATTGGGCAACATGTGGGGGGCAAATGAGGTTTAATGTTGATAAATGTAAGGTTTTGCACTTGGGGGCTAAGAATATGCATGCATCATACATACTAGGGGGAGTACAACTGGGGGAATCAATGGTGGAGAAGGATCTGGGAGTTCTGGTAGATCACAAACTTAATAATGGCATGTAATGCCAAGCTGTGGTTTCTAACGCAAGCAAACTCCTATTAAAAGAGGTATAGACTCCAGAGAGAGAGATATCATATTACCCCTGTACAAATCATTAGTAAGACCTCATCTGGATTATGTAGTTCAGTTTTGGGCACCAATTCACAAAAAGAACATTGGGGAACTTGAGAAAGTACAGAGAAGGGCAACCAAACTGATAAGAGGCATGGAGGAGATCAGCTATGAGGAAAGATTAGAGGAACTGAATTTATTCTCTCTTGAAAAAAGGAGATTAAGGGGTAATATGATCAACATGTATAAATACATCAGTGGTTCATATAGTGAACTCGGTGTAGAGTTAGTCACCTTGAGGTCGTCACAGAGGACAAGGGGGCACTCTTTACGTCTGGAGGAAAAGAAATTTAATCTCAATACGGAAAAGGTTTCTTCACAGTAAAAGCTGTGAAAATGTTGCATAGACTCCCTCAAAAGTTGGTTCTGGCCAGCTCAGTGGATTGCTTTAAAAAAAGGCCTGGATTCTTTCTTAGATACACAAAATATAATGGTTTACTAACATTTATAGGTAAATTTGATCCAGTGAATATCCGGATTGCCTCTCGGGGGATCAGGAAGGAATTTTTTCCCCTGCAGGAGCAAATTGGATCATGCTTTGCTGGTTTTTTGCCTTCCTCTAGATCAAATGTGGGTGTAGGATTATAACTTTTTTTTATGGTTGAACTGGATGGACTTTTGTCTTTTTTCAGCCAAACTAACTATGCATATAAAAATTAAGACCGTGAATGCCTTAAACAATGTAAGTCTTGGGCAGGATAACATGAGCAACAACTTTTACCTTTTTTGCAATCATCCCTCAGGAACTATGAGTACAACAATCATGATTGTGACGGGCGCGGCGTCAGACCCCTGACCTTCTCACCAAACTCGTGACCGAAGGACTAGGCAATCTAACACCGCGATGTCATGTGCGTAACAATATTATGCCCAGTTGCACCCTGCAAACCGATTTTCCAGCTAATTGGACCATAAACGACGTACCTGCAGCCTGGGAGCGTTTGCTACTGGGTCAGGTTAATTACGCAATTAACCCTTCACACTGCCACCACCTCCTTTTTACACAGAGAAAGAAGAAACTCAGCAATACACTAGGATGATTGGTTAATCGTCAGTAAACACTCATAGTAGCGCTCTACAGCGGCAGGGATTCGTAAGTCACATTAAAGGGCTATAGAAACAGTTCAACACTTTTAGAAAGTAAGATTTATTACTAAAAGGTCAAAAGGGTGCAGTAGAAATATTTACAGAAAAAAGATGTAACATACATACACATATATATATATATATATATATATATATATATATATATATATATATACACACACATACACAGAGCCCAACAGCACAGCAAACAGATAACAGAAAGAAGTTTAGGTAAATAAGTACTTGCCAAATAAATGCCTGGGGTTAAGCAGTTTCAAGCCTGATGAGCTAAAAAGGGATTTGTGGTCTCGCACTCAGTTCTGTTGTTACAGCAAGATTCTCCTTTGCTTTCTGTCTGCTAGATGTTAAAACGCAATAGGTCCTCACTTCTCTGTCTACACACAAAACATAACAGCCTCTTTTCTACTCAAAGTCAACGGGGTGTCTCTTACAACAGAGCCCAATTGCCTTATTTGGTCAAAGAATTGTTAGGCAGGGGGCTCAGCATCATACACTGATTGCATTCCTGAGGGAGGGGGAAATGAGGGGATAACATTAAGACTTCTTAACACAGTGAGGGCCGTGCCTGGCTCTTGTATGCACGATTGCTACACCTCCCCCCTCAGGTGATGGCATATGAGTTTAAGAGAAATACCAAAATGCAGAAGTTTGGAGCAAAATGGAGGACAGCGCCTCTCCCTGTGTGCATGATTGTGACAATGATTACTAAATATATTGCATTACCCGTATTAAAGGAAAGCTGTGCATCCTCTTGTAATCAGCCTCATCCTTCTTGCCTTCTCCAGGATCTGCCATTCCTGTTTTTCTTTAAGTTGCAGCACTCACTGTATACCTTTAAGTTGTAGAAAACAGAACACATAGTATAAAGAAGATAATAAAGAACCAGCAGTGATAATGGCTTGGTTTCATTTCCTAAAGAGGCACAAAATGTTTAACATATTTCAAGCTAAACACAGTCTCTCAGGTTCTTTCACCTACATTTAATCACAAAAGACGCACTGATCTTTATATCAAACATTGCTGCAAGTCCTAAGCACAATGACAGAACAAAAATAATCAAAGGTTACAGACGCTTGCTGCTCAGTGTATGAACTTCGGGGCCACCACTGTGCTGTTAAATTTGTTTTTACTTGCAAACAATGGCAAGCTTAACATTAAAGAGCACAGCTCTTCTTTGTATCACCAGGGCAACGGCAGATAGGATTGCATCTGAAGGATAAAGAAAAAAAGAGCCTACTTTGTATAGGACAGTGCATCAGTTTTGCATACGATACCACCACACATTTAAGGACATCACTCCATTATAATTGTTTCAGTTGACTGCAAGGTAATAAAGGTAATATGCCAGGAATGGTAGGGGATTGACTACAAAGTGGATCCAGTTATCAAAGATAAAAAATGTATGGTAAAATACATTTCAATCATGGTACCTCATGTTATTTATTACAATAAAATAAACAAGAGGTGCTGGATCCAAATGCTTGGCTTTCTTCAAATGCAGGTTAGTAATGGCTATTATCAAATGGATCTCAGCTGCTCTGAGAAACATGAAGTGGGGGAGTAGCCCCAACAGGAGTGGGACACACCCAACTTGAGAGGTTCATTTGAAGAGAAGAAACTAAGCACCAAATGACCAGTGTAAAAATCCGTATAATCTTTTTTCTTGATAATGGGAGTCACAACCAGTAAAGAAACAATATCCAGCACAGTTTGAGTCAAGAAATCCCCATCAGGGCTGGGGGTTCTGTTGCTAGAGTTCCTGATATGGAATGTGGTGTCTCTTAAAGGGATGTCTTAAAATTGCAGTGAGTTCTGTGGCTTGGTAATGGCATTGCCACGTTTCTCTTTTGGTTGTGACTCCATTATCAAGAATAAAAGTCAAATGAATTTTAAGCTAATCATTTAGAACTTTCTTTCTTCTCTTCACATGAACCTCATATTATTCAAGTAATCTGCACACAATCTAATAACCACTTAGATGCTTGTGATGTGCTCCAGACATCTTGGGGAAACAACGTTGAAAAGAAAAGTTGTTAATCTAGGTTGTAATGTCACCCAATATTCTGCAGTTCCCCATACATTCACACCTAAGCATCACATTTTCAAGTGTTTTTTAGTGTTTTTTGGAACAGCATTGCATGTTTTTCAATTGGACATTTGGAGTGCTGTTGAAAAAAAAATGGGTGGAGAGCTGCTATTTGAGCAGAAAACATGCAACACGACACTTCAAAAAATGCTCATGTCATGCTTTTCAGGCATTTCCATTGAAGTCTATGGGAACAGAAATGCAAAATTCTGCCTAAAAAGTAGCTCATGTTCTTATTTTGAGCAACAGTTGTTTTGCTACAGGCAACAGAACGTTCAGATGTGAACAAGGGCTATTGAAAACAATAGGTTTTTGCTTGTTGAGTGTTTCTGAGCTCTGAACCACAAGCTACAAAACGCTCAAGTGTGAACAGGAACTAATGTTTGAGGATAACAACAACATACATGCTGAGCTTCATATATACATACATACATACATACATACATGCTTGTAGGTTATTAGAATGCTGAGATCAAATGGAGAGACAGATCTTCTACTGATAATCAATATATCAATTTTTCATGAAACTAGAGCTTTCCTTCAATGGGAACCTGATACTCAACTCTAATTATTATTATTATTATACAGTATTTATAAAGCGCCAATAGTTCGCTCAGCGCTGTACATTACAAAGGGGGACAGAACATGTGACAGAACAATAACAATACAATGCAAAACATGAGGGGATCGAGGGCCCTGCTCTTTCAAGCTTACAATCTAGGAGGGAGGGGAGGGTGGCACAGGAGGAGAAAGCTGTGGGGGACAGAGTGGTAGGAAGAGTGGAGGAGGTCGGCAAGTTAGCAGGGGGTGGGGTAGGCTTCCCTGAAGAGATGGGTTTTCAGGGTGCACCTAAAGGAGAGGAGAGTAGGTGATAATCTGATGGGTTGAGGAAGGGAGTTCCAGAGGATGGGTGACACCCTGGAGAAGTCCTGGAGGCGGGCATGGGAGGAGGAGACCAGGGAACTAGAGAGAAGGAGGTCTTGTGAGGAGCGGAGTGTGCGTGCTGGGTGGTACTTGGATATTAGGTCGGTGATGTAGTACGGGGCAGTATGGTGGATGGCTTTGTACGTCAGTGTTAGGATTTTGATCCGTTGCGCAATCGGAAGCCAATGGAGGGATTGACAGAGGGGGGTGGCGGAAACGGAGAGGTTGGAAAGGTGAATGAGTCTGGAAGCCGTATACAGGATCGACTGAAGCGGGGATAGCCAGCGGCAAGGCAGGCCAGTAAGGAGGGAGTTGCAGTAATCGAGTCGTGATATGATGAGGGAGTGGATGAGCTGTTTAGTGGTTTCTGGTGTTAGGAACGTACGTATTTTGGCGATGTTGCGGAGGTGGAGTCTGCATGAGTTTGTTAAAGATTGGACTTGGGGCTGGAAGGATAGGTTAGAGTCCAGAATGAGACCAAGTACTCTGGCCTGCGGGGCGGGTTTGATGGTGGTGTTGTTGGACATGATGGAAAAGTCAATGGGGGTGGTGGTCCAGGCTGGGGGGAAGACAAGAAACTCGGTTTTGGAGAGGTTCAGTTTAAGGAAGTGGAGCGACATCCAGTCTGATATGTCGCTCAGTAGGTGTGTGATTCGGGCGGAGACTGAGGGGGTGAGGTGGGGGGTTGAGAGATAGATTTGTGTGTCATCGGCATATAGGTGGTAGTTGAAGCCGTGAGAGTGTATGAGTTGGCCAAGGGAGACGGTGTAGATGGAGAAGAGAAGGGGCCCGAGGACAGAGCCTTGAGGGACCCCAACAGAGAGGGGGAGTGAGGAGGAGGTGGTAGCATTATAGGTAACGCTGAAAGAGTGTTGTGACAGGTAGGATGAGAGCCAGGAGAGAGCAGAATCTCTGAGGCCGAAGGAGTGTAGTTTTTTTTTTTAGGAGGAGGGGGTGGTCGACTGTGTCGAAGGCCGCGGAGAGGTCAAGGAGTAGGAGCACTGAATAATGGCCATTAGCTTTGGCGGTTAGCAGGTCGTTGGAGAGTTTGAGTAAGGCAGTTTAGGTGGAGTGTAGGGGACGGAAGCCGGACTGTAGGGGATAGAGGAGGTTGTTGTCGTTGCGGTGAGAGCTTAGGCGGGTGTAGACTAGGCACTCGAGGAGTTTGGATGTGAATGGGAGCAGGGAGATGGGTCTGAGGTTGTTCGGGTCATTGGGGTACAGGGAGGGCTTTTTAAGTGTGGGGGTGATGTGTGCATGCTTCAGAGGGGAGGGGAAAGTGCCGGAGGAGAGGGAGAGATTAAAGATGTGGGTGAGGGAGCATAGGATGGAAGGGGAAGGAGGTTGTAGGAGTTGTGAGGGGATAGGGTCGAGGGGGCAGGTGGTGAGGCGGGCAACCCTAATAAATAAATGTCCTTTTTAGAAAGGCATAGATTCCAAGATGCCAACTAATAATTTTGTTAACTTGAAAAGTGTCCCTTTTTTGTCCTTTGATCCTAACTTCACTTTCCTACAACAGATTCAACTTTGCCAATTGTGCACCCAGGGCCTAGCCTCCCACCCCACCCATTCCTCCAATGTAAGTGTAAGGGATTTCCAGCAAGACGAATTGCGATCGGAAATGCGCATGCGCAAAGAAATTCCCGCAGGAGAATTGCCGGTTGTGCGCATGCGCAGAAATGCACGATTACACACATGCACGGCAAAGATTGGCGCCAGATGGCCTATTTAAGGAGTGTCTCTGCTCATGTTCAGTGCTGACTGGTCTTCAGTTCCCGTGTCCTGCTTGTTCCTGTGTGATTCCTTTGTTGCTGACCCGGCTTGTTCCTCACCTGACTCTGATTGCTCTCCTGATTGATACTGTTCCTGACTTCAGCTCTGCTCCTGACCTTGGCTTTTCCTTCTGATTCTGTACCGTGCTGCCTGACTGTTGATGACCCTGGCTATTCCATGACACTGCTCCTGTCTCTTGTCCTCACTACCTGCTTGCTCTGGTGCACGCCTGGCAATCTACAAAACCTGCTCTGCCTACTACTACTGTGCCAAAATCAGGGGATCATCAGCCTTCCAAGGTCATCATCTGCAAGACCCGCAAACAAACAACTACTGGCACTCTTGTTCACCTGGGTCCTAGACTCCCTCTATTCCAACTCCAGTGGGGTCAGGGCTAGTGACACAAGTGAGGCCGACCTCGTCATTTCAGTCTCCCATCAGGTACGTGACAGCAAGTAACAATTCATTTAACAAGTGAGCAGATAGGCAGCAGTCTAAGGCTGTATTCACACGTGATTGATTTGTAGCTTGAAGCTCGAAGCTCCAAAAACGCTCAAACTTAAAAAATCAATTGTTCTCTATGGTGCCTGTTCGTGTGATCAGGTGTGAAAAGAAACCATAGAGGCACGAACAGGCACCATAGAGAACAATTGATTTTTTTAAGTTTGAGCATTTTTGGAGCTTTGAGCTTCAAGCTACAAATCGCTCAAGTGTGAATCCAGCTTTAGGCTAGGTTGCCACCTATGCAGTTTGTGTTTGATCCATTTCTGCAGTGCTTTTTGCAGTCTGCTCTGCGTTTTTGCATGTGTTTTGACGCATTTTTACCACATTTTTTATGCATTTTGCAGGGTTTATTAATGTTCTTTCTGCTAGGCAGATTAGAACGCAAAGCGCATCAAAAAGATATAAAAACGTAGAAAAAAATGCACTACATGCTTCTCTGCAGCGTTTCCATTGAAGTCTATAGAACCAAAAAGGCAATTTTTTGTATTTAAAAAAGTCCCTGACCCTT